AAACTTTTTGTATTATTGTGAAAGATTTGATAGTTTATGCGCATTAATATATAATTTCAGTCAGGTAGAGTAAATATCAATTAGTTGCTATATTGCATCAATAATAATATGATCTATTTATAGTTTTTCATTAATGGCACTCAAATTAAAAGGTAATCTTGTTTAGATATTTTAAGTTATGAGTTTATAATTAGCTTATGTTTAGATGAACTTATAAGACCTATAACATGACACAACAAAAATAAAATAAAATGAATTAATTACAAATTTCTTTTATAAATTATAATCATATATCTGCTTCAATAATTATGAAAGTCACCTCACATAATTTCTTAAAAAATCAATGTGAATAAGTTGATTTTAAATCATGAAAAATGATTATATGTTGCCTTTTACTTTCACATATTATCTCCTATACATATACTAACAGAGAAATTTATCAAACTATGGCCTCAAGCTTAAACACTACATATATAAAGCAAGTTTTAAAGTATGTGATAATGATTTTTTTATTATTATTAAACAACTCAATCTTTTGTGGAACAAGCATTTAAGTTAATTAAATAAGTTAAAAGCTAGTTTGCTTACCGTATCAAACATTTTTAATATCTAACGCATCGAACTTTTGTCATTAGTATATAATATTTTTTTTAATTGATTAATTAATTGATCACATATGTTTTCATTATACTTTATAAGCTATAAATATTTGGTTTATAATGTAGAGTTTGTAGTTCTTCAACGGGGAAGAAAGGCCAACCCACCACTCGCCAGCAGATCTTCAATGACTTCAAATTTCATTATGATTTTGTTTCCTTCCAATATTTCATTCTCTATATTTTGGAAAGCCAATTACAAAATAGTTATATTTTAACTAATACATCATAAAACAACCTTTGGTATTAAATATTAATTCTTCATGCGTGGGAGGAGCCAAAGCAATCTCTTTATTGCGATTTTTTCAAGCGCTCATTTGCTTTGATTTAACATTTCTTCGTATAAAAAGACTACTAGGGTTAGCCTAATGGTTGGGTGGGTAAGAGTTGGGGTAATTAGAAGCATGAAAACCTAGGTTCAATCCTCATTGCAACCATTTTTAAAATTTTTCCTATTTTTACCAAAAAATATTTCTTCATATAATCAAATTTTGCACATAATTTTTTTCTTAGTAAAAAATATCCTTCAACAGATAGTCACGGATTGCAACCCTTTTAATTAAGTCTTTAAAAATAATTCAAATAATTTTTTTTTATTTTTAGTAAAGTATTTTTTTTTTCATTTTACGTGATTAGAAAGTTTGTATTTAATTATAAATCATTACATGAACATGTAATTATTAAAAATGATATTTCACTTTTCTCTTCTATGAAGACCATTTTCTAAGTAGTGAAAGACTCAGTAAACATACGTCATAAAATAGTCCAATATTTTTTAAAAAATAAATCCCAACAAATCTCATTACTTAAAAATAACCTAATCATCATGAGTTGCACTAATTTTATACGTAAAAAATGGGTTAGGACGAAGTTATTTATAGATATATAATTTATTTTGTCACACTCTAAAAAGGTAGATAAATTTAAAGATAAAATATGTTTTTATTTTTTTAAAATTCGGTTTTAGTTTCTTACAAAATTTTCGCTTTATTTTGGTAGTTTTTATTTCAATATGTACAATGTCAATTAATTTAAATAGTATTTAAAAATAATTATAAAATACTATCTAAATTACTCGTATGTAAAAAAAATGCATTCTCACATTTGATAGGCTCAAATAGGAACATTAAAATTAGGATATAAAAATGAACTTAATTTTTTTTAAAGAGAAATCAAAAACATATTTTTTTTTCCTAAATTTAAAAACGTTAAACAAAATTTTATAAGAGTTTAATGGGAACTACTATGGTAGTTAGGACTATATATAGGTCGAAAGTTGTAAGATTTTAAGTTCTAACATTATTGTTACCATTGTACATTTTTGTTTTAATATATTGTACAAAATGAACCAATTAAATAAGCTATACACGACGTAACATCTATTCTTTACAAATGGTAGTTAAATAAGGTATTAGATGATGATTGGAAAATGGTAAGAAGATTAATATAAAGAATGACCTTTGGTTATGTCCAACTAGCATTTTTTTTTTTTTTTGCATAAAAAGTTTACTGATTGAAAGGATCGTGTAGAGTCTTTGAGTTTGTGACTTTATTGAGCCTATATATATTTACTCTATAATAAAATAGTTTTTTTAATGGTAATAAAAATTATTATAAAATCTCTTGCTAATATTTTTATATTAACTATTGTATATAGTGTCGTCAACAATTATTTTGTATGCTGATAAAGACTTTTATAATGGTCGAAAAAAATATATAAGTTTTTGTGATATTTTTTTATTGATATTTAATATTTTTTGTTATTGTCACTAAAAATTTAAGAAATGATTCATAATATTATTTAATTATCTTATTTTTAGTCGATGTAAGACTTGTAAGAATTAATTAATTGTCTTATTTTCTAATTAATTATTTTATCTATAGTTGATATGTGATCCATAGTTGTTCTCTATTTATATACTATTTAATTATTTTATTTATAGTCGATGTAGAACTTGGGTTTAGCATAGGGCTATTGAGCTCGATAATTATGAGTAATCTAATATTAACTAGAATAATAAATTATAGGTTTAACTCAACCCTACAAAACAAACTTGTAAGGTGAGCATTATTATCCACTTATATATTTTTTAATTATTTTATCTCTATTCGATGTGAGACTTAAGTTTTTTTTTTCAATAAATAATTATCGTTAATAGTAAATTTTGGTATGATGTAAATACATTTTTAGTAGCTATTATAAATTAGTCATTAATATTTTTATTAGATAATAAAATAGAGACAATTAATTTATTGTTATTAAATAATTATTGGTAATAATAAATTTTGTCATAGTGCTAAACACATGGTGTATATATTTGATTCACGATATTTTTAATTAAAGAGATATTTGATTGATTCATTCATACCAACACATTTTAGTAGAGATGAGGATTAATTGATATGAATTATAATAAAGATAACAATTATTTAATTTAAACAAGATACTTTGTGTTGGAATCTTTAATTAATAATGTACATGTGTGGGTTTAAGGAGATTGACAATTTATTTAGAGCCTACATATCTCCTTCAAAATATAATTTTTACTCGGAGAATGGTGTGAGATTACCTTCCCAGTAAGACTTGTCTTAGTTTAAAAGACATTACTTGTCCTGTTACTTGCGAGTGTTGTACATCTTGTCCTAAATTTGAATGTCACACTTTCTTTGATTGCTCTCATATAATTAATAAATGTAGGGGTGACAAAATAGGTTTGACTTAGTGGGTAATGATAGACATTTTAGCCCATGAGTCTGTTTGACTCATCTACCTAACTTACTAGCCCGTCGGATCAAATGGTAAGACAAGTTGACCCACTAATTCATTAATTTTTAAATATTAATTTTAATTTATTTTGTAACTTATGGTGTGTGTGAGAGAGGAAGTTAGGTTTTCAAATTTGATCCCCAAAGATTTTAATGAGATTTATTCCAAGGTGCATCTAATGTTCTTAAAGTAGAAGATAAAAAATGATTTGAGATTTTATCATTTCACGTTAATATATTTTTGTTTATGGTTACTTTGCAGACTTTGTATTGTGATATAGTCTTATTATTAAATGACTATTAGTATTTGTGTTGTGATTCTTATAAACTATAATAAATTTGTTGAAAGACTATTAGTAATAATAATTTTGATTGAATTTTTTTTTAGTAATTTGTAATTTAATATATTTATATTGTAGTCTTGAAGTTGAAAAATAATTTTTTTCTTAATCATTTAATTAAATTTCTTAATTATTATTTAAAGAATTAAATTTGTCAATTTAAATTAGCAATAATAAAAAAATAATTTTAAGTAACGAGTCAAGATTTTTTGCACACTTTTCAGTAAATGAGTTAACTTGTCCCTCTCCACCCTGATTTTGACAAATTCAAACCAGTAGTGGAACGAATAAAAGAACCAAACTTATATGTTTTGTCACTCTTTATTAAATGTGTAGAGATATTGTAGATGCTGAAAACATTACTTTCTCTTACAACTAAAAATCTATTATTATTCAAAACATCGAACTTAAATTACACTCAATTTTTTCAAGACTCATGCTAACATCTACTAATTATATGTAATAAAAAATAATTTATTCATTTTTTATATAATTAAACTCTATTACTGTGTGCATCAGATTTAATTCGAATGGATTGTACGTATGTATCAAATTATCAATGAACCATTATGCCTTGTTAGAATAGTGGATTAAGCCTAACTTAATCCTACAAAACTGGCTTGTAAAATAAGGGTTGCTTTCCACTTATATATTATTTAATTGCCTAATCTCTAGTCGATGTAGGACTTGGGTTTTTCCCAATATGTCTCTCTTAAATATTAAAAAAATAATTTTTTATATTTTTTTATATATAATTATTAAAGATATAAAATATCTCGATTCATATATATATATATTATATCATTTTCAAATAAGCACAATCTCAAAACTAAATATATCACGAGGTGTTGCACATAACCTGGCCCTTTTAGCATGCAATAGGAATTTGTTCGCAACAATATGAATAGATTATATGAGAATCATTTTTTAATTAGTATTTTATTTGAAGTGATTAGTTTGACTTTTCAGTGAGTCAACATCCTCTCTATTTTTTTTCTTCTGTTTCTTTTATTACTAAGTTTTTGGAGAAATAAATTAAATAAAAATGACATGCATCTAATAAAGAGTGTTATTTATTTTCTTAAAACCATAAATGGTGGAAGAAATAGAGACAAAAGGAAATGGAAAAGGTTTTTCCCTTTTCAATATGTGATACCATAATTTCAGTAACATAAAAGACTATCTAAATGAATTTTCCATTATCATCTGATTATAACTACAATTATGATAAGATTATTAATTTTTAGGCAGCTGCAACTGCAACAATAATTAAAGTATAAATAAATTTTCAATAATGATACATAGAATTCAAACGAATTAGCGATGCAAATGAATTTTCTAAGTATACATTGTGTGGCGTAGCTTGTGTGTTTTTGATGTTGTAAGCCGAATAGGGCACGGCATGCAGAGAAAATTCAAATCCCTTCAACGGTTGGAAGTCGCAGCGAGAAGGGATTTTTGGGGAGAAGGGAGTTAGAATGAAATCGTGTAGATGTATAATGTTATGGCTAACACTTTTTATGGTTTCACTTCAATCACTGGGATCTGCCAGAACCGATGAGGCATACGTGACTCTGTTGTACGGAGATGAATTCTTGTTGGGCGTTAGAGTTCTGGGCAAATCCATACGGGACACTGGATCCATCAAAGACATGGTCGTTTTGGTCTCTGATGGTGTCTCTGATTATGCCAATACCCTTCTTCAGGTTTCTACACAAAAGCCTTTATTTTCCTCTGCATATTGCATTCACTGCCATTTTATATTCAGAATTTCACAGCAATGTTTCGTTTGACGTATTCCTGAATTTTGGTGGTTATAAATGCTTTTGTTGATTTTCAAACTTGTAACTTTGGTGGGTAGGGTTTATGATTGCTTTTTGTGTGTAGGCTGACGGGTGGATAGTTGAGAAGATTAGTTTACTGGCAAATCCTAATCAAATACGTCCAAAGAGATTTTGGGGTGTCTATACAAAGCTCAAAATATTTAACATGACTGAATACAAGAAAGGTACAGTATTTCTGTTGTTTCCATTTAGGTTATTTATTTCCTTTCAAATGGAATGTAGCTTCTCAAATCTCATGTATATGCAGTATGATTTATTGGCTGTTCTCGTACTTGCAGTTGTTTATCTTGATGCTGACACTATTGTGGTTAAGAATATTGAAGAACTTTTCAAATGTGGAAAGTTCTGTGCTAATTTAAAGCATTCTGAGAGGTTGAATTCGGGAGTCATGGTGGTGCAGCCATCTGCTACTGTTTTCAATGACATGATGAGTAAAGTAAAAACTCTGCCATCTTACACGGGAGGTATTATGATTCTTCTTCTTTTTTGTACTAATGCTATATGGTATTATTTTATTCATTTGAATCTCCTTGCTCGAAGGATCTTGTATTAGATGTGGCTTCATCCATCTTCCTACTTTCACAGGGGATCAGGGGTTTCTCAATTCATATTACTCTGGATTTCCCAATGCACATGTTTTTGAGCCAAATTTGACTCCAGAAATGTTGGATACTAGACCAGTTCCTGAAATGGAGCGACTTTCCACACTTTATAATGCAGATGTTGGTCTTTACATGCTGGCTAACAAGGTACTATAATATAGGTAAATAAGAGGATGGCTCCTTCCTTTTAAGTAATTAAGGGTGATACATCTCCTTTTTTGTTTCTTCCCGTTGTAACATAATTATGCTTTGCCTCCTTATTTGAGTTTTGAATTCAAATGGATACCTGTTGGATCCAGTTGTCTTATCTGATTAATGTTTAACTTGTAAAAATCCTACATGTTCATGTATTGATGTTTAATTAATGTCCCAATACATATGGTGCAATTAGTTTATCACTTACTATCTTAACAACAGATATTCTTTGTGATTCTTGGAATAAAATATTTTTTAAAGCCTTTTTGAATAGGTTAAAGGAAGAGTTGAGCAAATCTTTTACAACAATTGCATGTAAGATGAAACTGCCAACACTATAATGAAATGAAAAATTGTCTTGTTTTGGGATGGTTTTCTTTTGTTTGTTTAGGAGCTTTTGGTAGAATTGGAGTAACTGCTGAAGCAGCTCTTTAATAACTATGTCATGCCCATATATATCTATCTATACCTATTATCTATCTATCTATACCTATTAAAGGGGATATCTATCTATACCTATTGAGGAGGATTTCAGGATTTATAACTGTTTTTTTTCTTCGATTTTTAATAGACCATTATACCTTCGAATGTTAAAAAAAAAAAAAAAAAGTTCTTATACCCTCTTTGAATAACTACTCACAACTATCTAATATCTCGTCTGTGTAATTGTTAGAGGCATAAAGTATATCAGCCCCTCTAGTATTAATGATGGTACCCATTAAAGGGGCTATCATGATTTGTAACCGTTTTCGGTCTCTACTTTTTAGTGAACCATTATACCCTCGGATGTTAAAAAAAAAAAAAACTTCTCATACCCTCTTTGAATAACCACCCACAACCATCTAATATCCCATCTATGTAATTGTTAGAAACACGAAATGCCTTGGTTCCTCTAGTATTAATAATGGCAAAAGAATTATTATACCCTTGAATGTTAAAAAAAATAACTTCTCATACCCTCTTTGAATAACTATCCACAACCATCTAATATCCCATCTATATAATTGTTAGAGGCACAAAGTGCCTCGGTCCCTCTAGTATTAATAATGACAAAAGAATTATTTAGTGCTGCTGCTGTTGGATTCAAATTTTAGCATTAGCAGATGGCAATTATATAGATGGGTTAAGGTGATGATGCAGGAGGAAATCCTCAGATTTTTCCGTCATGTTAACATTTTCATCTTTCTTTACTTCCTGCTAGAAACTGGGTTTGGGGCATGTGGTGTGATGGAAACTGAGTTAGGGGCAGTTATGACAGTGATTGGTAGAAAGTGGCTGTTAGATATTAAAATAGGTGTAATAATAACTGTCATTAGCAGTTATGTATTATTAGAATATGTTAAATAGTAATTGCCATGTTGATAGTTTTGGGCAAAAAGTTATGAGCAGTTACGTGTTATTAAATATGTGTGTATAAGAGAGTAGGGGAATATGTGTGTATGGCTTTCTAGTAATTTGGACAGAGAACTCTTCTCTATAGGAGTCTATGACCTAGGACAATGAATTATGCTTTATTTTGTGTATCATATGTGATTTAATATTACTCTTCTCCATATATCAATTAGCATTCTATCATTTTTTATTTGACCTGTGTCAGACTAAAAGGAGGGTATTCTTGTGGCCAGTCAAGAGTAAGACCATGACATGCGTGACAGAGAGATTGAATGAATTGGAAGAGAAACTGGAGGGGATGGAACACAGAATAGAGGCTTGGGTTAGTGCGGATGAGAAATTGGCAAATTCTGAGAAGATTTTGTTGGAGATGAGAAAATTAATGGACAAGTGTTCAAAGGATGAGAAAGGCTGTTCATTGATCAGAGAAGGGGAGAAGGGATCAGATTCAGTCAAACATGACATGGACAAGTACCATATGGCAGTTAAGAAGATGGAACTGCTATCTTTCAATGGACATGACACTATTGGGTGAACTATTAGGGCAAAAACTTATTTTGAATTTCAGAATCATGGAGGGTTCTACTATTCATTGGTTTAATCTATTAAGAGAAATAGAAGGCAGACATGACTTACACAGGAGAAGCTGAATCGGGAAATGATGATTTGGTTTGGGAGGCGATATGAAAATCCATTTCAAGAACTGGCCGAGTTGAAACAAGAGGGATAAATGGAGGAGTTTATGGAAGTAGCAAGTTAATTTTTTTATTATCCAAATAATAATATTTGGGTGGGTTGCAACCTGAAATCAAGTATTGGGTGCAAACTTTTCAGCCAAAAACAAGAATTCAAGCCATTCAGTATAGAGGCAGAAATTTTAGATAATCCTGCACTTGTGGGTAGTTATGGGTGGCAGAATGCTGGTAGCAGTTTTAGCATTATAAGGAGGTCATTGAAGAGCAGCACCGACGGAAGAGAATTGAGATCTGTCTCTGTTAAATTCTGTAACTATACCTCATGAAGGGAGCAATTGAGATGGAGGAAAAATTTGAAATTCTGGATTGGGTACATCAAGAAATTCTCATAACAGAAATCTTCTTTAAAGTTCAGTGTTTTAGACAAAAAGATGGATGGAGGTGGGTGAAATTTTGGCATGAAAAAGTAGAGGCCTGAGCCATTTAACATACTAATAATTGATGGAAAGGAAAACAAGGGTTTGTGGTTTTGGTGTGGAGAAAACACTTAAGATTGGTAATTTTGGGAGATAATAAAGCCCTAAACAAAGAGGAAGAAGTGATTGCTGGTGTAGTGGATAAAGATAATGTGGAAGAAGAAGAACCAGTTACCTATTTTTTAGCATTGGGGACAAGGCTGATTTTTCAGCTGGAGGTAAATGATGGGAAATGAGTTAGGGATAGTTATGACAGTTATTGGAAGAGAGTAGGAGCAGTTCCATATTAAAATAGGTGTAATTATAATTGTCATTAGCAGTTATGTCTTATTAAAATATGTTGAATAGTAACTATAATGTTGATAGTTTAGGAAAGAAAGTTAGGAGGCGTTACATATTATAAATGTGTGTAATAGGAAAATTGGGGATACATGTGTATTTTTTTAATAGTAATTTGCACAGAGAACTATTCTCTGTAAGAGTCTACGACTCTCAGACATTTTGTGCATTTTATGTGATTTAGATTACTCTTCTTCGTTATATCAATTGGTCTGTAGGAAACATTTGCCTTTGAATCAATTCAAGCTGTTTTTAAAATGGTGGGAGGTGGATGCACATTTCAGGAGTTTGAAATCAGATTATTGTGCTTATTTTCCTAGTTTGAATTCACTGCTGCCAATATTTCATACATTCTTGCACACACAAACCAAATATATGCATTCAAATATCTCTGTGTTCCTTTACATTGCAACTTTCACTTCAATTATGTAACTATTTGTGTTGATTTGTCCAGTGGATGGTAGATGAGAATGAACTCCGTGTGATTCATTATACACTAGGTCCTCTTAAGCCTTGGGACTGGTGGACATCTTGGCTTGTGAAACCTGTTGATGTCTGGCAGGTATTTGTGCAACTTACTGTCCTATTTTAGCAATATCTAAAAAATTTGTCTTAAGTAGTCATGTGACCAAGTTGAAGTTTGTGACAAAAGTAAGTTAAATAATTCGCGTTTACCTTGTTTGTGCTGCAGAATGTAAGGGAACAGCTGGGGGAATCCCTTCCTGGAACTGGAGGGGGCCAAAATCCTACAGATAATTTTCTTGTGAAGTTTCTTTTTATGCTACCATTTTGTGCTGTGCTGTTCTGTTTCTATCATTCATTTATAAAGGTCAGCTATCATGGATTGATTTTATTCTTCAAGCATTAGGAATTCCATGTGCCTCATAATATTGTTTTTTCTGCAGAACCAGGGGTACTTTGGTTCCTGTTGTAGAAACTCACTATGTGATCATGTCAGACACCTTTATTACAGGATTAAATCAGGGGTGCCACTTGCATATACTACCATTTCTACCCCAACTATCGCTTCCACTCATCAGGTAATTTTTTACTTCTATATCTTCTTATTTAGGGATTTGGATCCTCTCACATGAGGTCCTTACGTACTCATCAGATGACTGGGTAATCTGATGGCGACTGGGTAATCTGATGGCCTCACATTAGAGGATCCAAATCCTGATGTTGGATATGAATGCTGCTTATGCTTATGTATTTTTAAAATACTTGGTTTCTTTATGGTGTTAAACAGCTCATAAACGGTGCTCAGTACAAGGTGCCTGCATATTTGGGCAGTATTTCTGTCTGTATCTGTTTATTGGCTGCTGTAATGTCTCTTGGATTAACACTCTTGATGGTACCCCGACAAGTGGCTCCATGGACTGGTTTGCTTTTGATGTATGAATGGACATTCACAATCTTCTATATACTATTTGGTGGTTATCTCAATTTGATTTATCACTGGGGAAAGATCATGGCATCACATACACCATCCTTGTCTCATGTTGGATATTCTGATGACGAATCTGGAAAAAGTATGTTCTGCCGGAGTAGAGCTTATTTGGGGGTTTATCTTCCAAATTTAACTGTGTCTTCAAGACTTGTTCTTTTTATTTTTGTTAATTGTCATCATTAATTTTATCTTGTCTGTATTAACAGTTCATCAGCGTCAGATATCATCATGTGATACTGCTCCATGGTTCTATGGATTAGGGATGGCCTTCTTGGCCATTGCTGCTCCATCTTTGCCTTGTCTTTTTGGGATCACTGCATTGTTTTTACGGTAATTATTATTAGAATTTATAAGTAAATATATCATTAAAATATGCACTCTTGCCATCATGATTGACCTAGTTATAGACTTTTTATTTTAGGTGTAATTTCATTATCTGTCTGCGTTTTAAATTTTAAGAATATCACTTTGTTCTCAGTATGGTCAATTATTAAATTTCAAAATCCAGATTAAGAGAACCTACAGTCTGCGGTTGGCCTCTTTTGTCTCTTTTGAGTGGTAACTTACACATGCATGGTGCATCTGATAGACTTTCAACCTGTGATTTAATCCACCCTAAGAAATGAAGGAGCCATCATGAACTGTAAGGTTATTTGACCATTTGATTGGTTGTTCTTTGCTTAGTTTTGGCTCACATCTTAATTCAGTCCTTCTACCACATTAAGCTAGAATGGAATCAATTAGGGGCGTTAATAACTTTGTTCTCTGTTGTTTCTTGCACCTTTAAGAAAGAGGGAGCAAGGAGTGAAGTGAATTCTAAACAGATAGTATATGTTTCTAGACAGCAACATTCTTGAATCAGGAGGGTTTTTCTTTTTCTGCCTTCTGTTGTATTTTGTTGCTCATTTACAGCACCTAGAATGCCACCTATAGTCTGCATGAAATTTGAAATTTAATGGAACACAGTCTTCCCTTTTTGAGCTTGAAGTGGATTTAACCAAATTTCTATCTCGTAATTCTTAGTCTTTCTCTTCAAATTTACACTTATATTTTGATTTATATTTCTAACAGGTTTGGTTTGATGGTTGTTGGGGGCATAATATTAGTGTCTTTCCTGACATACTCGTCCGAACATCTTGCTATCAGATCATTTCTGAAAGGGTTCGAGGATAAAAGAGCGATGTTGCACGCAATGCAAGCTTCTGTTGTTGATTGAATTCTTTGAAGTGGTGCATACTGTGGTAGATTTTTTTTTTATTCACCTCTATTTCATGGAAATATGCGTCATTAATCTATATAGGATTGGGATAGGTTGCCATACACAACCCTCACATTTTATCCGAGCTTGGAGCCTTGGACTGCTAATGCAAAAATTGGCAACAAAGCATGACACTAGGCCGAAGAAAATCTTAGGACATTTTTTTGAACTTTAGTTTTTGATGAAACCCAAGAACATTTGATTCGTCTAACTTGTCTCATATGTTGAGATTTAGTGGTGGTTTACCATTGTATTCAACTAACGGGTAGCATTGTTCTAGTGACAAATGTAATATTGATTTTGTCAATGAAGCATAATGTATGTTTCGTAGTTTCCATAATTCCATTGTTACATTGTTATTATTCTTTTGAAAGATAACTTTGTTCCTTTGGAATTACAATTGAGTCACCATAAATAAGATAAACATGTGTTGTGTTTGAAGAACTTGCGTGCTTGCTTCCTTGATGTGAAATGGCTGCCAAAACTGTGCATTAAAAAGTAGGCACAGATGTGATTATGAAACGTGTATTTTTGTTCTTAAAACATCATTTTCGTGTGGACTACGAAGATGCATAATTGTTACACTACAATCGTGCAATTTTGCTCATGAAGTTAGTTTCATTTTTATTCAAGATTATGAGTTGTCCTCACTCATTGGCTCGACTTTAACGGAGCCTCTTAGTCCAGTCTATAAGGCTCGCCATTGGACATAGGGTCAACTTAGCTTCATTTTTCATTGGTGTTGAATTAATGTTAGATTAGTTCATTGGTGTTTAAATTAATGTTAGATCAGTGAAAGTCATATCTTGTGAGTACAAATAAATTAATTGGTGTTTAGTATTAACTAAACGAGCACTTGGCAATGTCTAGTGAAAAAATATAACTAAGATCACGGGCCCGATTGTTATAAATTATAAATTAAATAATCCAGTAATTGTTTTTTAGAAAATTTGAAAAAAGATAAGAAGCTAATTTGTGTTTATTTACAATCATAGTTTTTTTTTTTTCAAAAAAGATGATTTTCACGAGGAATTATTCAAAATAGTTTCTGATTTTAATTAGATTTTAGATTCTTTTAAGGTTCTGATTATTTTAAAAAAACTGAAACAAATACATGAGAAACTAAAAAAAAATATTACTATCTTCTTTTTCTTTCTAAGAAAAGTATTTTTTAAAAAAAAAAATACTATAACAAACGATTCTTATATCAATATCTGTGAAGGGGCTGCGGTAGGAAGTCCTTGCAAGTTGCAAGGGTAAGAACAGTTTGTGTAGTGAATGATGCCAATTGAGACGGATCTGGACAAAATCAATTTACTAGAGTACTTGTATTGCGGTAAATACTAAATACCATGACCTAAGTTTTGACCAAATAATGAATGGTGCACATTGGTTACAACCCAGAACCTTTTGTTTTATACATTATCCATATCTTAGACAACAAAAAAGGAAGAGATATAAAGTTCAAGTTTTGTCATTTTCTTACTTTTCATCTCTCATCTTTGCTTTTCTTAATAAAGAGCACCGATTTGTATCTTTCAGTATACTTTTCTTTCGTCCATGTCTTTTGTATGGGATCCACTTCTATGCGAGATGGCAATTTCTAAAATGATATCTTTACTGTGTTTTGTGTTAACTTTGTTAAAATAAGGAAAAATGACATTTTACACCCTAAAATTTGTAGAAATATCATATAAACCTCTTTTTGTGTGGCACATACACTATTACTCCGACAAAACATGGCTAACTCGAGGCCAACTTCTATGCTATATTCATAGCAGTCTTGACTTGCCATACTAGTTCTGAGGGATAGTGGATCTTGCACAAGAAAATCTAGTTATGATTTTATTCATAGAAAATCTCCTCTCTATTATAGTGTAAGTAGCACTTATGTAGAAACAAATTATTTAAGCATTAGTCTGTATCTTTTCAACTGTCCCAAATTCTTGAAATTGTTAAGTTCAAAATGGTACAAGCATGACAATGCAAAGTGATTAATTACTCGGAGAAAAATCACAATGGACATCAATTTTTGCCACTTGAAGCCAAAACAGAGTGGAAAATATCAAAAAGGTAGAAAAACGGTCCTTGATTATATTGGAAGCCGTATTGGATTTTGGATTTTGTTGAGTATAATTGGACTCTCTTTGATCTAATCGAAGTATCAAACAAAGTTAATCATATTTGGCTTGTCGTTTTTGCCCTTGATGACTCACAACTCAAGCCAATAATTATTTATTTATTTATTTAGGCTTTGTTGGTTTTTGTTATTTATACCGACTTTAAGTTTGTTGGTGCACATCACTTTCCTACAGGTGGGACACCTGGGACTAACTCATTTAATAAAGAGTACTTAATGGACAAATTGAGGTTGGAGTTGACGAGAATTATTATGCTTATCCTAAAGTAAAAGTGTGGCTAATGAAAACTACTAATCAAGTTATTGGAGAAAACTAAAGATCTGTACCATTTAATTGGCTTTGTGCTGAAAGAGTAATACCAACTTGCCCAATTTATCAATTTCCCAATATCTGCCCATTCATTCTAATGGCAAATCTAATTATAAACTTTAATGAAGATTTACCAAAGATCGTTTAGAGCCACTCAATGTGAACTCAAGTGATATAGTTTTTAGAAGTTTGACCAGGTGAACTAGTTTGATTTGTTCGCCTAATTAACATTTTGAATAACAATAACAAGAATGATTACTAAGAAGACTATACCGGATGGTAGCCGATTAGGCCGAACACCCGAACACCCGACTCGACCGACCCAAAACAACCCTGCCGAGTATGCCGGCCACCTCTTACCAGAGCCAAACATGTCGGTGTGCTCGGCCAAGTTACGGATTTATGCCAGGACAATTAAGGAGAGGTTAATTTACGTAATGTCCTGATTTAGTTCCCTAATTTTTTGGAGTCCAGTTCCTAATCACGGCCCAACAAGAATCACTATAAATAGGACCCCATACGTAACTAACTTTCAACTACCGCATTTAATACGCCGAGCACTTACTTGAGCGTTGGAGTGTCTTTGCAGGCACCCCCCTCATTTCGGACTAATTGGAAAGGAACGAGGAGACCTAGATCCAAGACCAGACCTGCTACAACAAGGACAAGTGGAGTGTGTATCCTAATATAGGAACAAAGACAATTTCTATAACACGAGTTAAAGATGCAGACAAAATACCATTCAGGCACGCCATGATTGTTGAACAAAAATGGGACGTGAAACGAAGTGCACTCTTAATCGTTGTTACCATGTAGTAATTTGAAGTATCACATGCACATGAAATTTCAGACTGCGTCAAAAGACAAAATAGCATTTATGGCAGCAATATAGTGGTTGCAGCTAACTTCATCAATTGTATATATTGACAGTACTGAAAAGCTTTTCCTAATTCTGTTCCAGCTGTTTGGAGAGTTTTAGTCCTCCCTCAACAATCCAACACTTCCTTTAAACTTAGAATCATCACATTATTTCATTAGATCTGAAACAAGATCGATGTAGAAGCATGATACATGCTTTATATTCATAAACACATCTGCGCGTGCTCAAGAATCTGCCATTGGAATTGCATGGAATTTATAATTAATTAACCAAACCAAACTATTATTAACCAAACTACATATAGGTCATTGCCGGCAGCTTGTGTAATTCATTCATTCTTATCATGTTCTTATTATTACTTAGGTCAAGTATTATAAATTTATAATCATTCTCGTACACTTTATGCACCATACCCTCGCCCTTGTATGTGTACAGTGTACACACACCGCAATATCTCATAAGGGGAGTGGTTGCTAATTTCAATAATATAAAGTCGGAAAGGATCAAGTCATGTGATTATGTTCTCGTTGGAAAGAGGTATGATAAATCCAGCAAATAACATGATTTATTAATTTAGAGAATAAACCTTTTTGTTCTTTTTCTTACCCCGCCATGCCAGTTGCACACAATACAACAATTTAAGAATCTAATTGAACAATCAGAAGAAAAAATTGAGGTATAATAAACTTTCATTTCTTACTAATAATACAAATGCAGCTGCTGTAGAGCAGAAGAAGATACATAGGGAAA